TAAAGGATTAGTCACCTCCAAAATGAAAATTTGCTCAGGCCATCCAAAATGTAAGATTTAAAATGTAAAATTAGTTTGTTTCTTCATGGGAACAGATTTGGATGAATTTAGCATTACATCATAAGCTCACCAATGGATGCTCTGCAGTGAATGGGTGCCGTCAGAATGAGAGTCCAAACAGCTGATAAAAGCAATACACTATAATCCACAAGTAATCCACACCACTCCAGTCCATCAATTAATGTCTTGTGAAGCGAAAAGCTGTGTGTTTGTAAGAAACAAATTTTAATTGTAACTTTAATCAATCACTTCTGGCCAAAATACGAGTCCATAATCCATAATAACGCTTCCTCCAGTGAAAAAGTCCATCCCCTGTTGTTCCCTCACATCAAAATCCACCCACATATTTGTTTAGAAATGTTTTATATGGTTTCACTTGTAAACGGTGCTTGATTTGCGCATATTTCTCTCCTGATTTAGTCAAGATGACCTTTTCACTGGAGAAAGAAATATTAAGGGTATATAGAGGACTCTGGGTATATTAGCCAAAAAGGTTTGAAGGTAAAAAAAAAAAAAAGTCATAATAATGGATTTGTTTTTTAAAATCATTAAAATCTTTTCACTTCACAAGATGTTAACCGATGGGTGAACTATTCCTTTACATATTGTCCAGAATAATCACACACACACACAAATGAATATGCACTTAGAGACATACAATAAAAGCAATCAACAAAAATGGTGCATACACTGTACTTTTCTTTTAAAGTTGCATCAGATTCATGACAGTATGGCTGCTATATCATCCAGTAAACATCAAGCAGCATAGCATTTTTACATGTTTTGTGAAGCAGAAAAAATGTGATCTTATCTGCTCCAGCCCTATACATCCATTTCATGCATCCTTTCTCTCTTTCGCTCCTTTTATCTCTTCTTTTACTCCCAGTCTCTCAGAGACAGCACATGAATAATGGTCAAGGGTTAGGACTAATTCTTGCCTGGGGTCAAAAGTAAGAAACAGTAATGTGCATTTACTCTGTCCAATCAGGGGGAATTCTTTTGAAAGCGAGAGTTGCTGCCTCACGTGTATAAGAACAACGGCGCTGCATGCAAAAGCCATTTGAACATCTCAAAACAGAATTACTGTAACACTTAAGTATCAGGTATTCAGAACTTAATCTCATGAGAACTGATTATAAACTATATTTCATATTAATAAAATGTCCTACATTCAAATATTACATTACTTAAGTTTGGGGTCTCAGCAACATAAGAACATGAATAAATGAACAAATATGTACATGATAAAATAAACTCCTGCCAGCATTAACTAGAAAATGATGTGGGATTTACATAACAATTTTCACTCAGAAATGGCTAGAAAATTTCCCAAAAATTACTACTATATCAGTCAACATTCACATAAATGAAAAATGCATGCCTAGTTTATGTTAATATCTGTCTTCTTGTTCAAGAAGCACATTAAAGAATTGGAAGACAAAAATAAGAGGTTAATTTCAAAATTGCTATTATTATGTTTACATTTGCATAATTGGAGTCCATCTCAACAGAATATGATTCTAGAATCATTTGGTGTCGGTTACCAATATATAAATATACTGTCTGTTTGCTCATGGTACTTATAAACCATCATCAAAATATTAGATATTTCCAACATTTTCATTCTGTTTCATTTAGAACAGGACATATGTTTTAAGAATTAATATTCAAAGAATTACATAATAAGCCAATATAATGGACAGTAAGAGCATATATAGGGAACGAGCTGTCCTATATACCAGGCACTGCTGGAGCTCAAGGCAATGGTAGGATCAGATACTGGTTTCTCACACATCCAATGCATCGTAGAAGATCTCTGAAACTCAACCCCACTGTCAGAAAAGATCAACAGTAGGATCATGCATCCCATTTCGGCCTTGCCTTCCACCGGTATACCATGCAGTTCATCAGCTGACAGATTCATCAATTGACAACAATAAAGAAAACTGCAAATGAGGACAGCAGTTTAGTATGTTGTGCTACAGGCTTTTTAAATGATGAAGAGCATACAAAGAAGAGCATATGGCATGCACATTTATTTTCGCCCAACAACAAATGAGCAATAAAACATAATTCATGATGCACATGAACAGCCCACAGGCAGCAAACCTGTCAAAAAAAACAAGCAACATATTGCTTTAGAGCTGGACTTTGTGTGTTCACCATCTATAAAGCAGTCACAATAAAAATGATATTTCTAATACATGATGGTTTGATATCTCAGAGCACACATCACCTCTTTCGTACAAAAGCCTGGGAAAAATGGGCATAATTCAGCTGATATTAATGAGCAGGACATCTGTCTTGATTAGCCTGGTTCACGTCAGATTTAGTGACATGTGAACATATTCACGCAAATAAATTAACAAGATGAACAAAAATAGATCAAATATCTGCTGCATATGGAGCCCCCACATCTGAGTCATCATTTAATCTAAAGATATGAATATTTCAAAGCAAAGGAAAGGCTGTGGTCTGTTTTTAATTGCCTTTTTTTAATTTCTCAGAATAGTTCTGAGTATTACTAGTTTCCCTTAAGTATTACTTTTGATACATTAAACTTTACTTTCTCTTTTAGTGTGCACACAGCTAAAGCCAAATGATGAATATAGATTAACATAGATGGATAGAGACATAATATACAAACAGTATATAATAGCATATAATTACTGAAGCACCACTAAAAGGGTTTTTGGCAGTATCTTTATGGCTTGATAGACTTGGCTGTTTTGCTTGGGGCTTCTAGCATCAGTTTTCAGTGGAGGCTGTTCAGCTGCAGTGAGGTAGACACAATCAGACTGGTGCTTTAGATGCTGCCCGTGTCCTCATGTTTTCACTTAAACCTCATCTATCACTCCGCTGGCTGTACATAAAAGCAGGAGACCTTTTGCTGCGTCTGACAGAAATCTGGCACTGTGCTCAAAAGATCAGGTCATGTTTAAAGCAAGCTGTTTAAATATGACTGAAACATGATTTCAGGCAGAACTGCGTAGTAACCGATTACATGTGATCTGGATTATATAATCAGATTCCAAAAATTAAGTACTTGTAATTAGAGTATATTAAATTTTAAAGTGCTCATAATCAGATTACATGATTGCATATTATTCACACAATGACAGTAAATTATTCATCATCTCCCTAATTATTATTTTTTCTCTTTTAATTATCCTTTCTAAAAATCCTACTATGTGGCATACCATTTAGCTTTGACTATATTCAGAAATGTAAATAAATTTGCAAAGCATGCTTCTGAATTTGGGAGAAAAAAAGCACCTCTCAAGCAATTAGATCATGTATGAAACAAATAATTATGCAAGTAAATACTAAACATTGGTGATGTGTAGCTGTGAAACATATCTTTATCATATCCGGTGACTTTTAGTAACTGTTGACGATTGAACAAAAATATTTCAAACCTGGGAGACCTTTGGTGTGTAATATCATTGATGTTTTCATGTTTATTAATATTTGTTCATGTAATGCAGGGATTCCCAAACTTTTTTGTCAGCCAAACCCCTTAAAATAAAATATACTTAAAATATCTCTGAGGAAGTTAATATTTCAATAATTTAACAACACATGGCAGTTAATGGTCACTTTGACATGCAGGTAAACAGATAACTATATATTTTAGTGTTTAAGTGTTAAGTGATAATTATTTTTGTTTTGCATTTTTATGATTTATTTAATTATTAGCTTTATATCCCCTTAACTGTCACCGTCCTGCTTGCGGGACACTTGGCGCTCTTTTTTTGTTGTTGTTGTCGTCTTTTTCTTTTAACAATCATCATAAATTATACATCATTTGAAAGTTTAAAATCTCAAAATTAAAACATTGTAATACCATTGAAATGGTACTTTAAAATCTTTTAGCAGTCTCCTCCCCCTTAGTGGGTGGTGTCAAGTGTCATATTACAAAATGTATTACGGTATTTTACAATCAAAACTTTTTATAATCTTTTATTAATCTTATTTTGAGATAGAAATAATACTGAGAGAGAAATTTATACATCTTTGACAGAAAATTGCATCAAAATAAATAAATAAAATGTAAGTAAAATCAATAGATTTTGGGTATAACGCCTAAACCTCTGTTTTTTATATCAACTTCAAATTTGGAACATAACTTATTTAGACATATTTGATAAAAAAAAAAATTCATCTAAAAGTAATCACAATACATCACCTAAAATGAGTAACCTATATTACGTTACTAACTACAGTTTTCATCATATAATCTGTAATCAGTAACGGACTACAAATTACAAGTAATCTACACTGATTTTTAAGTCAATATACTTTAAAAATCAATATGATCAGTTTACATTTTATTGATATTTTTCTGTAGCTATATCACAGAGAGTATTTTCCCTGCAATACCAACCATGTTCAGAGAAAATCCATGATGCAGTGCAGAATGCCCTTGTATTTCCTGTGCTGCATGGCATCTGCCTGCAACCGGCTTTTCACCACGTCTGTTGGTGTGGCGGTGACCCACGAGATGGATCCTGTGGAACAACAGCATAACCACAAGTGAAACCTCATGTGAAGTATTCTGTGTCCTTAAAATGCCTGACTCCCAGTAGGGACATATTTAGATTAATTCCCGTCAGACATCAATAGGAGGGAAACTTTTAACGGAAAGTACAGTGAGAAATTTCAAAACAATCCACCCTCCCACAATCCTAAACCAAATGTACCCTTGTTAATCTGTGCATGACTGCTGAGAAGTGCTTTGGTGTCATACAGAGGGTCTGACAACTTTTAAACAATTCAACACGTGTGCAAACAGACTGAAAAACACTACAAGTGCATCTGGTGTTTCTTTAGGTGAGCATCACATTCAGACAGGAACAGAATAGCTCTGTTAAACCTAGAGAAAAAACTATGTATGCATGCTGCATTTGAAAGTTTGAATGTATTAGTCTGCATTCTGAGATGAGATATGACCACATTTTATGACAGTATTACATGTATCTTTTGTGAATGCAATACTATAATGCATTAAGACAAGCATAGAAAAAAAATATGGAATAGTTCACCCAAAAATGAAAATGTGCTGAAAATACTCACCCTCAAGCCATCAAAAATGTAGATGAGTTTGTTTCTTCATCAGAGCAGATTTGGATTAACTGATGGACTGGAGTGGTGTGGATTACTTGTGGATTATTGTGATGTTTTTATCAGCTGTTTGGACTCTCATTCTGACGGCACCCATTCACTGCAGAGCATCCATTGGTGAGCAAGTGATGTAATGCTACATTTCTCCAAAACCTGAGCTGATGAAGAAACAAACTCATCTTGGATTGCCTGAGAGTGAGCAAATTTTCATGTTTGGCTGAACTGTTCATTGAAGGTGAGAAATGTTGATTATACATATAACCCATTAAATACCGAATGCAACTTATGTTGGACTTATGTTGTAAGCTTAGCAACAGGCTAACATAAAACTCTAATGAAAACAATTCCAAGTTGAGTCTGTGCATTTTTTTTTATTTAGATCCCCATTAGCTATGCCCGAGAGCACTGCTAGTCCTGGGGTCCACACAACACTTAAAATCCATACATTATTACATACTCAAAAACATTAAAACACTTCAAATCCATGCATTATTACATACACAAAAACATGAAATACTACTAATAACTAATCTGAGTCCTTTTCAAAAACAACATTTCATACATTTCATCAACCTTACAACCACCTGTGAATGTACCAAACACCTGTTCTAACACTAATTGCTCATTTGACTAAATTCTATACATAACCTTCTATAAATAAGATCCTTTACCTGCCTTTTAAAATTGAATTTCTGTGTTATTTTACTTAAAGGCAATGGTAAAGAATTCATTGTTTTCATTGCCCTATATACTACTGTTCGTTTAAGGAAATTAGTGTTTGCTACAAATCTTCCCTCTGTAGCCTGTCTAGTAGCATATTTATGTAACTGTCATCATCGCTCAAATAAATATGTAAAAATCATCATCACTCAAATAAATATGATCAATACAAGATGTGGTCTTACCCTTATTATTTGTGCTTATTCTCATTTGAGAGTGTATTAAATCAGTCACTTATTAGGTTCCATTTCAGTTAGAAGGCAGCTGTCTGTGTAGGCGGTAGACAGCAGCTATTAAATTTTGGAATACAGCCCAAATCTCACTTACCTGCTAAACCTCCTGCTAGCCATATGCAGCAGGGATGAGGCGGGCCTTTGCCATCGGGATTCAGCCACTTACAGAATAACGTGTACGGTATGAAGTAGAGGGTATAACCAGGTACATCCCGCAATATCATGGCTCCCGCGCCTCTGTAGAGCCCTTGAATGCCCTCGTTCTGCAGGACGGTACTAATGCAGTGCAGTGGCCCTCTGTACAATGACTGGGACTGAATTCCCATTGACCGGAGAGGGACACTCCCATTCCCAGCAAGGTTAAAGTTCTCTGGAAACACACAAAACAGTCCATGAGGAATACTGTGTGCAAAAGTCATTATTTCCCTGGAAATGTTTGTCTTTGAGAAGCTTTCAGTAGCCAGAACGATTTTTTCTGTTAACATGAGTACGCTCTCTCTGACTCCATGCATAGCTGCAGGGTGCTAAAATGTTTTTATAGCCAAGACTCTAGCTCACCTGCAAGAACAGGTTGGGTTTGCATCTGCAGTCTAATTTTGACAAGGTCAACAGGGGCACCCACCCCCACTGAAACCAGACCAGTCAACATGCTCGCTACAGTCAAGTCAAGCATGCCGCACGGGTGTCTGCCGTCACCATATCGATATCTGCTAATGAGGCGCTGTGTGTTGCTGAAGAAGCCGAACACCACAGAGTTATAGAGAGTGACGCTGGCCAATGGAAAGGACAGTCCTTTGAAAAAGCCTGTAACCTGAGACAACACAAAAGAGAGATGGATTGTGTACTTTTGCTTCCAGGAAAGCAAATACCTGTTTACACCAAAAACAGGGTCATTCCTGATATGCAGTCTTGGGAATATAGTCCCAAGCCCTGTGATGAAGATATAGCCTGCTCATTGATTCTGGGAGTGAGGGGGCTCACTTTATTAAATTATTGCATTGCATTTTGTCCCATGTCCTTTGAATTTTATTGGTGGCTTTTGCCAATTCTATATGTCTTTATATATAATTAAATGACATATAATTCCTAAAAATGGACATCACATTATTATTTTTTCATTATTATCACATTATTATCATTTGCCAGAGTTCCGAACTATTATTTTATATGAAAAACTGGCAATTTAGGCCACACTTTAGTTTGGGGACCAGTTCTCACTATTAACTAACGATCAACTACGACTTTTGCCTCAATAACCTCCTAATTTACTGCTTATTAATAGTTAGTAAGGTAGTTGTTAGTTTAGGTATGAGGTGGGTTAAGGGATCTAAAATATGGTCATGCAGAATAAGGCATTAATATGTGCTTTTTAAATACTAATAAACAGCCAATATGCTAGTAATATGCATGCTAATAAGCATCTAGATAATAGTGAGAATTGGACCCTAAACTAAAGTGTTACCATTGCTTTTGTGTCTTTAATATTGTTTTCCATCCTTTTGGTATATTGTGGAATATTCTTTTTTCACTATCAAAAGTCAGGTCCTTAATGACATCAGCTTCCAGGAAGTGACATCATCTTTGGTAGAAATTGGTATGATATTAACAACATTTCAAAAGATGAAAAAACTCAAAATGACTAATCAAACTGATCTAAATAAATGAACAATCCTCATATAAGCTAAGTATCTCTGAGCAAAGGAAATAAAAATGTAATTTTTATATTCGTCTAGCTGGATCCATCCTCATCCTAATAGCCATATTTTCATTGTGTAAATAAGTTGTCATATGCTTTTCATAAAGTTTAAGTACCTGAGAGAAAATACAGATCTCTAAATGTACAGCAAAACAAGAATGTCTCAATGAATACAAGGCTCTGTGGCCTTTTTGTGTGTTGTGCCGCAATAATTGTGAAAAATATTTGACAGTCAATTTTTTATTCAATTATGAAGATAGTCAGTGAGCCTTACATTTTCCTTTTTGAAGATTGTTACAACACAGTGGAGAGTGTTCCTGTATCCTTTGCCAGCTTGTAAACGAGTCTGTAAAAGAGCATAAAGGAATTTTTTCATTATTGCCCGGACTGACACCTCATTCCTAACCAATGATTTTATACCAGTGGGAAAACATAAGTAACTTAGAAAGTAATACCGACTACCTTTGTATGTAAAAATAGATATATAATATGAACTACATCATTTTATAATATTTGAATATATAATAAATACATAATATAGGATTTGTACAAAATGAATCACACAACAAGGATTTGTCTCGATACCTTGACTGTGTCAAGTGGATGTCCTACAATCACACTGGACGCTCCTGTAACAAAAACAGTTGTACAAGTTAAATATGTTGCAACAAAGGCAATAGTGATATTCTGCCTATTTCATAGCTTTGTAGGGGGCTCTTCTTGCAGAACAGAGTGTCCATTTTATGAACAAGTTACATTGTTATGAACATTTCATGGTGGATGCACATGCACATTAGGGCTTTATAAAATAAATGTTTCCTTTCAATGGAGGTTTCCACCCCAACCAAGTTTATGGTCGAGAAATGTCGACCAGTCCTCAGTGCCAAAACGCGTAAAATCAGCGCTGTTTGCGCGAGAGACTTTTAGAAAAATGAACGTTTTACTGACATGGTTACACGTGACACAAAATTAGTTAAAAATAGACAGATGTATACTGTACTTTTTTTTACTCTTTCAAGAGAACATCACATAGCTGGTAAACATTTTCGCTGTAGTTTCAAGAAAATTTTTTTCTGAAAATGCAGAAAATAGCAGTTTAAATAGTTTAAAGTAGTAGATTTATTGAAACTAACAAAGCTGGGGTTTATAGAGGCGACGATAACTAGTTCGGGAAACAAACTTCCTTAAAGTCTCAAAAATATATGCTTCCGATAAATCAAACAATATTGCTCGGAGAAAATTGCGTTTTGGTGGTTTGTTAGCAGTGTTGGGAGTAACGCATTACAAAAGTAATAATATTACAGTAGTATATTACTTTTTGCTGTAACGCAGTAATATAACGCATTACTAATCAAATTTCGGTAATATTATTACTCGTTACAATCTCAGTAACGCAAGTTACAACAACATATTTTAACTAATGTCAAACACATATGAAACTTTTTACAAGACATGCAAAACAAATAAAACTCACCTCCAATCCATCCTGCCAAGAAATCATCCAAATGAAAGACTGTCATTGTAAAACAGAGAGAATTTACGCCGGAGAGTTCAGCATTGATGCGGTTTGAGTGTTCACGCTAAACATCCGTCAGCTTCATTTAACAGGTCGTCAGATCTTCAATACAAGCAGAGGTAGTGACTTCAGCCTCATATTTAAATCGCTGAAGGGGGAGTATATGGGGCGTTGCAGAAACACGAAAACAGATTTGTCCACCAACAAACATAATTAGCTGTTTAAAAGCATATGCTGCATACATTTTTTCTCACTGTTGTGTAATGTAAGGATTCTTGCTCACGTGACTCTTAACGTGGCTGCTGAGTTTCTCTATATGCTGAGGAATGCCTGGAATGTGTCCGTGACTCACATCGGATTGAACCATAATACCAACATGTTTTTTCACAAACTACAAACATTCTCTCGTAAATAATGTTTAAAGTATTGATTATGTTGATTATGTATGCCCCCATCGCCCAAGTCCTAGCCATGAAACGTGTAGGTTGGGATGTAAACAAACGCTCTGTAAATAATATGCTTCAGTGGAAAGCTACTAGCTGTTGCACTGGAGTAATGTAAAGTAACTGATGTTTTGCAAACGTTTTATATATAGAGATAACTATAAGCATAAGAGTTATGAGGACTGCCACACTAAAAAAAAAAAAGAAGAAAAAAAAAATCAACACACTCTAAATTTCAATTAAATCAAAATGGTTCCAAATACAACCTGCAGTGAGTTCATTGCACCTTTTCCACTTACTTTTAATTTAATCTCTAATCTCTTAATTTTAATTTATATCTTTAATTACGCTAGTAAATTGCTAATCCTGCCAGCAATATGATAGTAACAGGCTAATCATGCTAAAAACATGCTAATCATGCTAGAAACATGTTATCAACATCTATCTAATCTATCTACATTTTAAAACTTCTATCTATCTATCTATCTATCTATCTCTGACAGACTGTATTGCCTTCAAAACATTCAAACTTTAATCTTTTAAAACTGCTTTAAACTTCAAACTATTTCAGACTGAAAACCATCAAACTTAAAACTTTTTTAAACGTCTTAAACTTTTTAAACTTTTCAAACTTTTTCAAAATTTCTGGTCCGGCTTTTTCAAGCCAACTTAAAGTTTGTCTTGACTAACTTTTTTATCTAGTTTTAATTGAAACTCTTAAGCTCATGGAATCAAGTAGTCAATAAGTGACCGAAATTATTGTGACTGTGATTATTGCAGACTGATATCATTTAGATAATATATTAACCTGCACATATAGATGGTATTGACTAACCTGAAGCAATCAAACTGAAAACACGTTCCCTTCATTGTGAAATTTACTGTTGATTCACATGCCCTCGAAACATGTTGGCACAGTTTATGAGACTCGGGCAGCAAATGAACCCAATGCCATATGGGCCTACTGTGCTGCAAACTCTTTTTACACTGAAAAAAAATGGTAACATCTAAATGAACTGGTTTTATTCAAGTAACAAATATTATTTTATACCACTGAATCAACCTATACATGATATACATAATATAATCAACATATACATACCTATACACTTTAAAAGTACATATTAGTACCTAAAATGTAAATATTAGTACCTAAATAGTACATATTGGTACCTTTTGAAAAGGTACCGCCCCAGTGACAGCTTTTGTACTTTTTTTTGCTGGGAGTGAACAAAACTATTTTTGCAAGACATGTCAGGGAACATTCTCCAAACTTTGGCTAGAGAAACTTGCCAGAAAGTTATGAACAAACATTCTTTCAGTAATGTTAATAAAATGTTCGTTCAACATTATCTGGTCTTTAATAAAGTTTTTGATGGAATGTTTTAGTCAGACATTCGACTAACGTTTTTTAAATGTTACTTGTTTCAGAACATTCAGATAACATTTAAAAGTAATAATCACATAATGTTTGCAAAATGATAAAATGGAATGTTCCCTTAATGTTCATATATAACCAAGAACATTCAAAAATAACAGAGGGACTATTTGTAACCGCAGGATAAACAAGTACTGTGGAAATTAAAGAGGAAATTAGTTAACCAAGAGCAAACACATGCAAAAAAAAAAAAAGAGAGAGAGAGAGAGAGCTTTAAGGTAACAGTGGCAGGTTATCACTTTTTACAACGTAAATATGAAAAATGACAAATGTTCGAATCTTACCCTATAAAAGGAGCTATTTTTTATTTATTTAATTAGTGACTTATAACTTGTGCATGACTCAACTAACTTAACCGCAAGATACACAGATACTCTGGAATATTAGTTTCACAGGAAGCAAACACATGCAAAAAAAAAAAATAATAATAATAATAAAAATAAAAAGGTAACAATGGCAGACTTTCAACGTAAATATGCAAAATCACAAATGTCAGAACCTTACATAATAAAGAGTTTGCCTTAGGCTTTGGGTAGAATAATAATTACTTGCGCAATGCTCAACTAAGTTAACTGCAATATGCAAATAAGATTTTTGCCTCATTCGTGTTGCACACTAATGGTGCAGTCAAAATGGAAGAAAATCTGGTTTAATTTTTTGTTTGACTATTTGGCCCATTGTGACTTATCATTAACTCACTCTTAGCAATAAAGTCATATTGTATTGGCCATTTATCTTTTATCATCTGACCTGAGCTGGGTGAGGCCATGAGGCAATCCACTCATGTATTGCAGCAATCCATGTCCTGGGGGCTTTGAAATGCAAGTTTGCTAAATAAAAGTTTTTTTTAACAATGGCGATGTAGGTCTCTGATTAGTCTCTCACAAGCACAACTACTGTTGTGATAAGTGATCAATATTTAACCACACGACACAGCCGTCTTATCACCACATACCGGATAGCATGCGAGGTACAGAACGCTCCATCTGTCTGTGCAAATAACAGACTAGGCAGCTCAAATGTACTTGTACTTATTTTCATGCGCTACAAGAGAGCTCCTGTGCATCTGGTGTAGACTTGATTACTAATGAGCATATGTTTGGGTGTTAGAAAGAGGCTTGGCTGCAAATTCTGTCAAATGTCAGCAGAATAAATTAAAAGCCAACATTGCCTGGACAAAACAAAGTCTTTGTTACTGACACAGAATGAGTAATGCATGCCTGGGAGAGCCAGAGAGATTGCAGCCTTCAGATGGGTTTTCTTAAGCTTTCTATTATGGCTAGGAAAAAATGCTGTAAAAAGTTGTTGTTCTGAGATGAGAGATGAAGAACAAACAAATAAAAATAGCCTAGCAGATGCATTTCCTTTGAGTTCTGGTTAAAAAAATTAAAATAAAAAATCAGGGGCACCATTCTTTCGCTAAACAATATAGTGTAAGACATGACCAAAGAAAAAATGTGCATGATACTTCTGGTTATAATTCCTTTGAGAAGGCTGAGCATTCTTGTTAGTCAGGTTTCTTTAGGTCTTCTAGAATTACAAGTCGGTAAGGTCAAGGTCTCTGGTTTCAGTGCAGATGAAAGACGAAGAATTCATAACCAACTCATGTGCACCATATTGATCCACTGATATAATTTATGCCAGAATTAGAGAAAGAACATGATTATTATTTATTTTTTACTGGCATTGTACATTCTGTTCTATTACAAATACACATATTATAGTTCATTTGGGTCAGTGACCTGACTAAACATGTTTTCAACTTGATTTGAGGTCTGTGTTGACAAAGATCACAGTGAAATGCCAACAGACGTCAGTAAACTTTATTTTTGTTACTTTTGAAATTGACATTACAAACTCTATTCAGACTGGAAAACTGAATTCCAAATAAAAGGATATATTTAAATAGATTAAATATCATATTATATTATATTATATTATTCTTACTTCTAGTTCTAATAAAACACAATATGTATATAGCAACTATAAATAATAATAATAATTAGAAGAATAATATAAGAATAAGAATTCCCCTCCAGTTCTAATTAGAACAGTTAAATAGCTCCTTTGACCCCTGCAGTTGTGTACATTTTCAATTCGCAGTGTGCAAATAAAATGAAATAAGTTGAGTAATTTAAATCACTTTATACGTCATTGTAAAACATTGAATATTCAGGGTGTGTTCAGTTTGTGAATTCCCATTGGTTCTCGATGTGCGAGGGAAAGGCTAAACAGCTGTAAGTGTGAGAGGAGACGACGTGTGAAGACCTAGATAGGGACAGGAATCTGAGTCACGGAGATAAAAGCCAGTGATGTCACAACCTTTCGGGTTTAGTCCTGTCAAGTGACAAATGATAAGCAGTCACTTTAGTAAAAGCAGAAGGGTGACGCTTTTTATTGTGCCTTGATCACCTGCTGTACACCTGAACATCCCAACAGCTTCTTTATGACTATGACCTTTAAATGGACACATCACTGACTATAAATGGTAACCAACCTAACAGGCCATATAGTGCGTGAACAGAGGTGCACTAAACAGAAAAACTAAATATCATTTTATTCTCTTGTGCTATATTCTGTATATTCACATTACACACGTTATGTCTTGTCAGAGAGTAATACATTTTTTACCTAAATGCATCTGGGGGGGGAAGAGATATTTCATAAAAATATGATTAAAAACCACTGTGTATTGTAAATAACAATGTTTTATACTTTAAATAATTGTGTAAGTAGTAAAACAACACAAACGGGGCAAAAATGCGTTTCAAGTACAGAAACATGTTGAGTCTCCTCTCCCTTGCCTCACAGTCCTTTGGTCCACATGCCTGCTTTCCTCTTTTACATCACCTTCACACACACAAGTCCGGTGAGAGAGAACAAAGTCAATAGTTGTGTAACTCCAGTAAGTAAGGCTGTCAAGGCGATTTTATTCACTTAAACATCGGATGAAGTGATTATTTTCTCTTTAATACAGATGATGCCAATGAGTCTCTATGTTAGCAATAATAACGTTACCTGCTTGACGTTACTTGTTTTTTACAACAAAACCCTCCTTGCTACCCAAAAATAGCCCAAACTAACCGCGTTTCGAGGGGGTCCCCAGGTAAAAATCGCATTCCGGGGGCTAAAATACACGTTATTGGGGTCGTAAGCCATTCCTCTGTGTATACATATCCTTACAAGTACAATTTTAGCTGTATTATTTGTGTCCCCTTCAAAAATCGCTCTTGAGAAATTTTATGTTTATTGACCCCCCCAACTGAAATTTACGCCCCTGCCTAAATGTAACTGGTTTAGGCTTAAATCAATAAGATTTCCAATGAAAGCAGCAAATATCAGGACTGATGTGACATCTGATATGACACTGTCAGGGGATGATGTACAGCGAGAATAAAAGTTACGCCTTCTTTCTTTGCGTGAACATTTGGGCGGCGTTATGCAAATCTTCCCACATAGTGACGTAGACATGTGGGGCGTGTTAGAACGAGCCGTTTTAGGTAGGTGTGGCTGACTCTTAACTTTTATAAAGAATATCTCTTTGGATTTGAGACTTTAGTCTTTGCAGCTTTACAGATCTTCTTTATGCACCAAGAGCTTGTAACACTCCAAAGAGAAAGGAAAAATTGAAATCGCATCATATGACCCCTTTAAATACAGAACATTCCAGCTCTCAGGTCAAAGTGCATGTGCAATACTTACAATACCTTTAAGAGTATGATACAATTATGATGACCGTAGTGTAAATAAATAAACAAACAAATAACTTCAAAAAATGAGGTGTATTGTGTTGTTTTTCTCGCATATACATATAGAATATATATAAATACAGTAATTAAATTAAACATCAATACACAAAGACAAGACAATTATTTTCATTTCTATAGGTGCCGTGCATGGCCCACAATTCATTTGAGATTCACCTAATTCACTAGACCTGCACAGAATCAGAGATCAGATGCTTATTTAGTTTAATATTTTTGTCCGAGAATCTACAGCAGTGATCTGTTCTTATAGGGACGTGGGCAGCAGGAAAAAATTATGCCAAATGCAAATACTAAAATACAACTAACCATGTAATTGTTTAGTTAGGATAACACATAGGACAAAAAAAGTTTCCCATATATTTTGTTGTCAAGGTTAGTGTGTTTAATCAAACCCTACTGCATTTTGCTGCTAATTAATCTGTTAAACTGACACATAAAATTCAGATTCACCTTAGTAAAATGGCTAATGCTAATACATTATTATGTTTAATGTTTGGTCATTCACATTTCTGCTGTTGCTTTTATGCAATATAAAACTGGCAACCTGTGGATGTTATGTTAATATTTATGTTAATAAAATAATATTGCATGCATATTGCAATATATATATGCATATTTCATGTTTAATTTTAGGAACATTTTGTACTTGTACTTTCGTACGATAAACACTTTGTACTGTGCTGGGTCTGCACCGAAGAAAAAATTAAATTTTTTTTTGCAAACTGCAGTTATTTGATAATTCAAGAATGTTTCTCTTTTAGTGAACACAAGGGGGCAGAACAGTATAATCTATTCTTTTGCCAACCTTACGAAATGTGTGGTTTCTCCATGGTTTTTTACTTTAATTACCGCTGACCTTTTCTCACTTACTATAGATTCTAATCACGAAGCACAAGGCTCCGGACCGATCCCTCCAGTTCATTTGAAAGTGGAGAGGTGAAATTTCCTATAAATCTTCCCAGCACAGCTCTCTTCTGCCCTTAAGTGCACACGGATGGAACTGAATACTCACTGGCTCCTTAATAATTATATCCTTTTCCCACCATTCACTTGTCTTTCTTTCTCTTTATTTCATTCTTCTTTCTATATAGTATAAATATATGCAGACCTACATTAACAATTGAAACTTTTTGAATATTTTAGCGTTTTATGGTTATTGCCACTAAAACTGATTATACCTGCACAACACTGGATTAAAAAAAATATTATTTTTAAAAGCACCAAAATATATGTAATTATACTTTACCATTCAAAAGTTTGGAGTCGGTAAGATTTTTAAAATGTTTTTTTAAAGAAGTCCATTATGCTCACCAAGGCTGCATTTATTTGATCAAAAATACAGTAAAAACTCTGAAATATTATTACAATTTAAAATAACTCTTCTCTATTTGAACATATCTTAAAATGTAATTTATTCCTGTGATGCAAAGCTGAATTTTCAGCATCATTCCTCCAGTCTCCAGTGTCACATGATCCTTCAGAAATCATTCTAATATGATGATTTGCTGTTCAAGAAACATATTATTATTATTATTATTATTATTATAAATTTTGAAAACAGTTGCTTAATATTTTTGTGGAATTTTCAGGATTCTTTGATGAAGAGAAAGTTCATGAGAACACCATTTATTTGAAACCGAAATCTTTTGTAACAATGAAAAAGTATTTACTGTCACTTTATCAGTTAAATGCATCCTTGTCAATAAAAGAAAAAAATCTTACTGACCCCCAATTTTGAACAGTAGTGTATGAAAACGGGATGTTCTAAATGATTAGATACTCACAACTATAAAAAGTTCATTTTATTAATAAAAATTTAAATGATTGTGTGCAGATAAAGTAAACTCAAAATTGAACCCGTACACTGATAGTCGAAGTGTAAACAATCTTTCAGTTTAACAGTTGAAAGTAAAACAGTGGGCTTACAAGGATGATGGGAGTGTGTGCTCATAGCATTATAGCTTGAAAATATTTACCCTTGCTCTCTAACATGATGTGCAATTCAGGAATCCAGTCTAATTACACACAGAAATGACCACTGAATTGGCTAGGGAGTCTAAAGCTTATTTGCATTCGATGAGACTCACAGTGAAGGACAAGGACAACGTAAAACAGCAGACACAAAAATGTGCAGGTGTCTGTTGACATGCTGGGACAGTAGTAGCAGCAAATGCAATGATTAAGCCAATGCATAATTCATAAACCAAGAGCCCAACTCTTGGAGCAACACGATTGCGTGCCGAAACAAAAAAGATTGACCGCTCTGGTAAATTCAGAGAGTGTGGAAGGACAGTCCTTGAAGGGAAAGGTTAGCATTGTCCTTGAGTCACATGAACAGACTGTGTGACTCACACAAGGGTGGATGAAGAGGTCAAAGTTCTTCAAGAACAAATTTCTTATGTAAAAGCATGACTTCGTTTTACCCTACAGCAGCAGATTAAAGGAGAAGCGGCTTAATGTGGAGTGACAGTCCTAACAGAACTGGTTGAGAGTGGCGTGGTACGGCCACGCAACGCTGACTGTCCTGGCCACAGATTTACAAAGACTTCAGCAAGATCTACAACGACACTCAAGGAAGAGCTGAACTCTGCCTAAGTAACAAGCCAGTAAAGGTTCTGGCAAATATTTCGACTAAGGCTGCCCCCATGAGGCCGTGCGTCCACCAAAGCATTTTTAGCCAGCTGAAACACCAGGTGCTCTGCTGAAAATACGCCGTCATTTTTGCTCAAACAGGTAAGACTAATACATCAATAGAAACTGTAAAGGTTCTACTTTTATTTGTGTACACTTACAATATCGACTAAATGTTGTGCTTTTGTAAAATAAAGAAAACAAACAGGCTGTGCTTTCTGCCGTCTCGGTCTCTGTGAACTGGAGCGTGTCACAAAAATGAACTGAAAATCAGTGTATCGGCTACTTGCCTCACAGACGTAAAAATCTATCTATAGAAAGCTTGAAATGTCCACTTTTAAATGAACCATTTCAAACTGAAAACAAACGATTGTGTAATCCGAAGGCACATCACTGTACTGCAGAGATGGCGAGTCAGCATCGTTAACTTATATTTGCAGCCGACACTGACTCAGAAAACACTAGTTTATTAATAAATCATTCAAATATCTCCCTGATATTTTTTCCCCGACATATTCAGGGTCGTTATTTTTGTCAGTGTTTTGCAGCAAGCTTTATACGTGCGCTTGAGCGCAGTGTAGGTTATATATTGAACTTTAAGTAATTAAATTTATATAAACGTGAGCTTGGTCGACTAATGGGTTAAAAGAATGACTATTCATCGACTAGAAAAATCTTGTTCAGGGACAGCCCTAATTTCGAGACCCGTAGATGGGAGTGTTGCGAATAGAGCCATCTCACTCTTCCTGTCTCATCACCTGCCGCATGCAAAGATTCCTGACACCAAGTGTTGACGGCGCACTCTGGAGACCTGCCTTTAGTCCTGCCTCTTCCCTCCACCACCTGTACAGAAATAAACAAAAAAAGATGCTCCTTAAGGGGGTGTTGTTGTACTTGCTGTCTCTCCGTGTGTATGACCTCCGTATAAACAGTGAAATCCTCACCGACGAGGACGGATCTGAGAAGACTGAGGTAGGAGAGCAACAAATGGTTACAGATCAGTGGATATTGTGCATGTTATTTACATACAACGTGCTATGTGCCCAAATCTGAGGCGACAGAGGTCCAGCAAGGCAGAGTTGGATGTAGGCTATAGTCCTCCAGCAGCAGTTCAAAGCTGGCAGGCTGCTGTGCTTAGTCATCTCTGGATTTTCCTCTCTGTGCTGCCAGGCCTGGCCGCTGCAGATGCTAGCTGCCATTGGTCATGTGCAGCTGGGTGCTGTCAAGCTTTTCAATCATCTTAATACGTCTACAGGGAACCGCGGTCCCCGATCTCATCTGATAATCCACACTTGCAGCAAATATTAAAAAGAGAAAAACAGACTCCAGTTGAACTCATCTAGTATTGTATAGAGAACATAAAAAGGGAGTTTTAGGAATTCATCTTGGCATAAGACTGTGCCCGGCTAACTGTATTACATGACTTATACATCTGCAACGTAATCTGATGACCAAACTTTCATTGTGGCAAGCGTTTGGTGAGCGGGTACGAATTTCCACGAAAATGTTGGATTGCTTTTTGGCGATCCACTGTAATTAAGACAGAGAGGCGGCTCCAAAATACACAAAACTACGTACAGTTGCTTTAAAGGCTACTTAAACAGCTGTGAATGATGAAAGAAGACTCAATATTAATTCAGCTCATTAATTTTGAAAAAGACAAATGTTAAAAAAGAAAAAAAAATCAACCCAAAGTATTAATAACTAGTATTAATTTCAGGAGGAAAAAAAAAAAAAAAAATGTGCCCCTGGAGCACAAAACCAGTCTTAAGTCGCTGGGGTATATTTGTAGCAATAGCCAAAAATACATTGTATGGGTCAAAATTATTGATTTTTCTTTTATGCCAAAAATCATTAGGATCACTTGTTTTTGCTGACTCATATTCTATAATAAACAATATCACAAGAAATATAGCAGAAGCATAACCTTGATCTTCAGGCCAGCACGTTGATTGTAAATGTGATATGTCTTTAATACAGCACTTCAAGCTAATATTGATTAACTTACATTTTTGACACATATAGCCTTTTACTTGTTCTATTTGTGTCTATGTTGCCACATACTGATGTAGCAACGTAATCTACAAAATTGTTTGCTGTAAAATCACCAATGGGACATCAAATGAGAAACGTGAGGGGTAGATATGTAGGTACCATAATATCATAGAGGCTTGAGCTGTGTCCCAAATGACACTATACACTGTGTACTTGTACTATGCACTATGTACTCTACCATCTAGCGTATACATTTTATAAGGTTATTTTGTCATCCAGCATTGGAGTCTGCCACGTTATGAAGTGCTGTCAAAGGTTGTCTCAGTTTGAAGGATCCTTGGAAAGCAGCCTTCATTTTGCATCCTGCATTCGGCATATATTGAAGGATGGATCAAGTGTATCCTTCACATCCTCAAAACACCCAGAATCCTTTGCACACATTCTGGTTATCTGACGTGCACTTTTTCTTTTTGGAATGTTCAGTGTGGACACAATAATCATACTGTGTATACTACAAAAATGGCACAGAATAGTGCATAGTGCAAGTGCATGAATTGGGACGCACTTTTGGGGGTGGACTCAACTGACTAGTTTGTATTTTTTATTATTGAAGCAAAATACATAAGAATAATTATTAATGTGCTGCATTGTGAATGAACTAGAGATAGACCGATTTTTACAGATATTTTTACTGGTATTTTTACCGATATTTAAGCATTTTTTCCATTATCAGATATCAGTTTTGTAATATCAGATTCACCAATATATGGTGCCATCTTGAGGGTGCTTTAATGATAAAGTGCACTTTTTTATTTATTTCAGTTTCATACCCCTCTATTTACTGATGTAGGAATAAAAGTTGTTTTGTTTTGTTTGCAAGGAGGGAGTGAAATGACAGTATTGACAGTGTTATAAATACAAATGCTTGTTCAGATCAGTACTGTTGTTATCACTGTGTCAAAAACAGAAGTAAAACAATAAATAAATATCGGTTCTGCATATCGGTTATCGGTCACATAAACATGCAAATAATCTGTATCAGTTCTAAAAAAAAAAACTATCTCAGTCGATCTCTAAAATAAACAGCTTTGAAAATACAATTTTAAGCGTCATATCATTAGAAATGAAAGTGTCCTTGATATTTTGAACTTGAGGTATATAATGTCATGTAAAATAATAATTTTCAGAAATGATACCCAAAACATTTGGCCCATAAAATCCAATATCATTATAAGTAGACCTCAGGAGAATAAATAAATAAAATAAAATAAAATTAAATATATAAACGACCACTTGAAAAACAGGAGTAATTAGAGTTAGCTAGACTTGAGTGGCAGATGTGTGGAAAATTGCAATTTTCTCAATCTGGACATAGCAAGCCATAGAGCGTATTTGCCTGAATTGTCAGTTTCTTTAGTGCAATGTCACATGTGCGTCCCCTCTTGTGGAAAGGATTGCATGTGCACCAGTTTGGAACATGACACATTCTCATGGGGATGCTGGAAGCCTCATGCATCACAACCTTCATTCCAGTCCGTGGAAACTCGATATAGTTTGAAGGGAAAATTGTATTGCGCTGTGCTGAACTGAATATACTTTTGCATTCTGAGGCATCTGGACTTCTTGGGGGAGCTCTGTGCTTTGTGAAGACTGAATTGTGATAAATTTAGTTCTTTGTAGGCCCCTTTCACAGTTTGGTTGGATTTTCTGATGCACATTTGGATAGTCTGAGATTAAGTGATGAAGCAAAGGATAACAAAAGATTGTTCATAATCAGTTCATCCTTTTAGAGTTCCTCATCCTGTGCCAAGGCTATTGTTTGCTAAATCAACCATGAAAGGGCTTGTTGTTCCATCTCATACTCTCCTCTCTGGCCTTGAGGCTTTATTGTGTTCTGTCATTGCCTTAAGTAGGACTGAATGCTCATATTGGCTTCTGGCCATAGTTCCTGCGATCTCCCCTATTGGCCTCAGTAATTGACGGGATCTTCACCGTGGCTTTCTCTCTAAATAGCACAAAACTCCTACATTAAGATATTTTTTTTTGCCTGCATGGGGGCTGCAGCACTTCCTCATTATGGCATATTGGAGTCATTTAGGGTCTGCATTACCTTTTAGTACTTGGGATTGTTTTATGGCCATGGTTTAATTAAGTTAGTCAGTATTAATGTAGGAAACAGTTCATTTCAGAGGAAAAATTCATGCCTCTTTTGTGTCCCATTTCCAGATTTCCCTTGAAAGCATTGTTTGTTTGATGTGATTCATGTTTGTTGGACTTTGAAAATTTCACATCTGATTTTTCTGATTTTCTAATTAGAAAGGTTTTTAAAAATAACTTTTATAGTTTTGTGCTATGCTTCTTCTGTGAATCTGTCTACAGAGCCACTAAACTTTTGAGATGGAAATAATATGAGGTGGCATGAAATATTATATTATGGGGGAACGCATTTCTTTTGCGAGTGAATGCAAATGTTTTAAAAGCAAATGCAAAATTTCTCAGGGGAACGCAATACTTTTGCGAGAAAATGCAAAGTTTCTCAAAGAACACAATAGTTTTGCAAGAGAATGCAAAGTTCCTTGCGGGAATGCATTTATTTGCCAAAGAATACAGAGTTTCATGGGGGAACGAATTTCTTTGAATGCAACTTGAATGCAAATGTTTTAAAAGCAAATGCTAAGTTTCTTAGGGCAATGCAATATTTTTGCGAGAAAAGTCCAATTTTCTCTGGGGAATGAAATACTTTTGAAAGGGAAAGCAAATATTTCGAAAGCAATCCAAATCTATAGCAATGCAAAATGCGATAGAATGCAAAGTTTCTCAGAGAATGCAATAATTTTGCAAGACAATGCAAAGCTCCTTGCGGAAACGCATTTCTTTTGTGAGAGAATGCAAATGTTTTAAAAGCAAATGCAAAATTTCTCAGGGGAACGCAATACGTCTGTGAGAAAACTCAAATTTGCTCTGGGGTATGAAATACTTTAGAAAGGGAACAAAAGTTTTGAAAGCAAACAAAATTTCTCTGGCAAAGTTAATAATTTTGTGAGAGAATGCAAATATTTGGAAAGCAAAACTTACAGGAGGATTGCAATTCTTTTGCAAGAAAACAAACTTTCTTGGCTGAAATGCAATACTTTAACGAGAGAACAGAATTTGTTTTGTTTTTGTTTTTTGCGAGGAAATGCAAAAGCATCAAAATATAATTTTTCCTCCCATCTTATATTTTTTTCATCACCATGTCCCCTTAGGGGCTCTGTATCTGAAGTTAGGGTCTACAATTATTCATTTCTGATAACATTATTATAACATTACACTAATGTCTTCTAGCATGATTTTTTAAAATAGTAAATTTGTGGTAAATTGTTTATTATCATTATTATTATTATTACTATTATTGCAACACACTTTTATCCTTAAAGATAACATTTAAAGGTGAATTTGTATCCCCCAAATATCTAAAAATAGCTCCCACGCATCATTCTAATTTCAGTACAGATGTTCACACATGCTTTACATTTTCAAGCCATTTGATTCAGCATGACATATTAAGGTCTATTAGAAAATAATTCATTTCTCGAGTAGTTGGCTTAAAACCCACAAAAAGCTATTTTCAGACAGCTTAATCTCTTGATCCCCAGTCACACTCTTCCTTTTTGTATTTAGGAGGTATAGAAAAGGCAGGTGGTGTGTACAGATTTGCTCAGTGAAAGACGTTTATGTTGCAGGCAGACATCCACACGTTTTATTGGGAACAGATGGCAAATACATGATAAGAGCATCTTGGGTGCTGTCTTTATGGAATTTGTTGCTTGTTGTTCTCGATGCAGTTCAAGGCCGCTTCAGAGGAAAGTGAAACACTTCTGTAATCAGATCTCTAAAAGCCATATGCTAGCCCCTTTATTCTTTAATTTATCAAATGTTTGAACTTGTATAACAAAGGATATAATACAGTTCTGGCAGAAGATATATTTGGCTATATTTCAAAGGAAGATATATTTCAAGATTTATTTTGAAAGAGGTATCTACAGTATATGTTTATTTTCTTACTTTTAGACAAGAACCTTTCTTTAGATGACATTTTCAGTGATTCGTTTATTTTTGGCATGACTTTTATTGGCCCAGTATAGCTTTTTGTCTGTAATGAAAGTCAAAATTGTTATTAGCATAAACCAGTGTTCTTCAGGAATTAAAATATATACAGTGGGTACGGAAAGTATTCAGACCCCCTTAAATTTTTCACTCTTTGTTATATTGCCTAGAGTTCTTTGTACATTCTTTGTTCATTGTACACACAAAAATAATTTGGTTCTTTGGGATGGTCAGGGTGCTATATAGCACCACTGCTATATAAAGAACTTGTTTAAAGGTTCTCTTAACTGTCTCTTAGTCTCTTAGTTTAGTTGTGGAAAGGATAAAAAAACAACAACATTAAAATAGTGTATTTCCTGTAGATAACGTGGTTCTCAACCTTTTTGCCCCTAAGGCCCCCCTATAAGGAAATAATCCAGAGCCACCACACAAGACTTTTTGACCTCAGAAAAGCATAATAGTGATTCGAAACAGCTTTTTCCATTGTAGTAAATTCCCAGTGTGGAATTGTGGAGTGGAGTGACATATCTAAAATCTCAGGAGGAGAATGAGGTTCCTCTTATAGTGCTACATAGCACCATTTGACAAAGTTGCTGTATAACACCTTTAAAGATATAGGTGCTATGTAGCACTTAAAGGATTAGTTCACTTCCAGAATAAAAATTTCCTGATAATAAACTCACCCCCATGTCATCCAAGATGTTCATGTCTTTCTTTCTTTAGTCGAAAAGAAATGAAGGTTTTTGAGGAAAACATTCCAGGATTTTTCTCCATATAATGGACTTCAATGGGGACCAACAGGCTGAAGGTCCAAATTGCAGTTTCAATGCAGCTTCAAAGGGCTCAACATGATCCCAGCCTAGTAATAAGGGTCTTATCTAGCGAAACGATTGTTTATTTTCTAAAAAAAACAAAACAAATTTATATACTTTTTAACCACGAATGCTGGTCTAGCACTAGCTGGACTTCACGCATTATGTAATCACATTGGAAAGGTCACGCGTGATGTAGGTGGAAACACCCGACCCAGTGTTTACAAAGCGAACGTGCAAAGAAAGTCAAACACGAAGTTGGAGGAGAAAATGAGATACCTAACCTACCCTACCCTACCCTAACTTTTCGAACCGGAGCACACAGATGAAGTGCTAACCGCGCGTGACCTTTCCAACATGATTACGTCATGCGTGAAGTCGTGGACGCGCATCGCAGAGCTAGTGCAAGACAAGCATTTGTGGTTAATAAGTGTATAATTTTTTTTTTTTTTAAGAAAATTTCGCTAGATAAGACCCTTATTCCTCCGTTGTGATTGTGTAGAGCCCTTTGAAGCTGCATTGACACTGCAGTTTGGACCTTCAGCCCGTTGGCCACCACTGAAGTCCATTATATGGAGAAAAATCCTGGAATATTTTCCTCAAAAACCTTAATTTCTTTTTGACTGAAGAAAGAAAGACATGAAAATAATCCATAAATCCATAATCCATAATAACGCTTGCTCCAGTCAAAAAGTGCTTCCACTGTTGTTCTCTCACATCAAAATACACTGACATATTTTGTTTAGAACTGTTTTGGACTGTTCACTTATAAATGGTGTTTGACCTGTGCATATTTCTCTCCTGATTCAAATGAGATTTTTTTTTTTTTTCACTGAAGAAACCAATATTATGGATAAAGGACTTGTATTTTATGCTATAAGCAACAGTCTGAAGTTGAAAACGCCTTAATATCATCTTACAAACACGCAGCTTTTCACTTCATAGGACGTTAACTGATGAACTGGAGTGGTGTGGATTACTTGTGGATTATTGTGATGTTTTTATCAGCTGTTTGGACTCTCATTCTGACGGCACCCATTCACTGCAGAGGAACCATTGGTGAGCAATTGATATAATGCTATATTTATCCAAATCTGTTCTGATGAAGAAACAAACTACATCTTGGAAGGCCTGAGGGTGAGTACATTTTCGTACACACATTAACCTTGACAGCCCTCAAATACATTGTAAAATCAGTTTTCTTTTTCTTTCTTTTTTTGCCGACCCCATAATACCTTAGAGGGCCGCTATTACCTTTACGGCCCCCGCGGGTCGATTTCTGCCATCAAAGATCTATAGAAATACATGACTATTTACTGAGGGTCCAGCAATGGAACCCTCTCAATGGTGTGTAAAGAAGCATGAAGGTTGAGTCCCTCAGGAAGGTTGAATAAACCAGCATTGGACCGCCACTACTGTCAATGCTAATCTAAGACAATTGAAAGAAATAGTCTCTCTGCTCTTCCATGACTACAGTCGGAGCAAGAGCACGTTTGTTTTCGTCAAAAATGACTATAACGTTTATGATTCCCGATGATGTAGTGAAAGAGTCTTGTCTTAGCAGGTCAATGCCATTACACCCCTCACCTTCAGAACTCCTCTGTCTTTGCTTGAGCAAAAAAAACCTATTATATCAGGTACAATTCCTCAAACACAACTGATCTCGGCCATAAATCTCTGTCTCCATTATAGTTCTGCCAATAGCATGGCCATGCTGGCTGCACACACTCTTTATAGTGGGGTTTGATGCATATTTCACCATGCTGGGGTGTGACAGAATGGGGTTGGAAAATGAGGGAGCAGCTTCATTACGGTACTATTACGGATTGTTCGTCGGAGCTGCCAAAAGTGGCATGGAAACAGGAACAAGACAAACTGTACCAAACATCAACATCTAATTTTTCTCCCCTGGTTTTGAAGCAGATAACCAGTCGCTGTCTCTGCTGTCAACCGCATATTGACAGAATGATAGCCATTAAAACTTACAGAGAATAGCTGTGAGTTTGTTTTCACAAGCTCTAACTCTGAAATCACTTTGCTTTAACCTGACACTTCAATGCATAAATGTCCAGTGCTTTTTGTGACACATGCAAAACATAGAGGTAGGTAGGTGCCAAGATTACAGTATTTACATACAAGTTCGGTGCATAGCGCTGGAAAGAGCCTGAGGTGTATCTTACCTTCACACAGCAGTAATCTCACTAGTGTACTTACATCATAACGCATGCTGGGGAGCACAGGCGTGTTTTAAAAGAAGCTTTAAAGAAAATGATTTATCACTTGCACTGACTATACAGAGGATTACACCGACTCTAAAAAAAAGATTGGTAGCTTTGGGTAAATGACAACATTCTTCACTTTACAGTTGGTTTTGATTTATCATTTGGGACTTTCATATTCACCTCATATTAATTTTCATTTAATGGAGCTTAAACTTTCCTTGAACTTTAATAAGATTACTTGATGCATTATGAAGATGTTCTGTAACTTTCCAGTCCATTCCGAAACAGCCTTAAACTTTGCTTATTTTTGTGATGTGAAACAGATGAATGCATTAACACGTGACCGTCCACATTCACAAAACTCAGTCTGCTCAATCTGTGCTAACAATATGATAATGAAAAGAATTAAAAGTATAACACAAGATAATGAAACGTTTAACTGGCTGTTTAACACCTGATGCTCGTCCAAAGATCCCAGCATTTGGAAAATTAGTGTTTTTTAGTACATTTAAACACTTATTATTTAGTGATCATCCTGTCACAATGTTATGCAGACTTTAGGAAGTTAAACACTACAACTGACAAGAGAACAAACCTGTAAGTCAGTGACACTGTGTTCTGTTCGATGTTGCTCATTTTACATGCAAAAGGGCTTTTTCTAAAATAAATAAATTTAGTAGAGGTTTCTGCATAAAAAATAAAATTATAAGATGATCTCAGGGAAAAAATAAAATACAAAAAGCATTTAAGATGCTGTTTTCTGTCTTCACTTGAGGTAATACTTAAGGCACTTTCCCAAAACATATTGATGCTATTTTTTCAAGTTGTTTTTCTTAGCTGCAGGGTTTCGTGTCTTGATCCTTATTGACAGCTCCAGGCTTATGTAGCAACAAAACAATACTTTATGATTTGGGCTGTTATCTGAATCATTTATCTTTTCTCCATCGTATTGCCTGGTGCGATGTGATCAAAAGCTTGATGATTATATATTTTCAAGTACGGCACTAAAGTTCAGATTAATCTTGTTTTTCAATAACAGTGCACTGTGCTGTGTGTTTTCTATTGGCTTTTTAGAAAGCAAAAAAAAAAAGTCAAGTATTCTTCAAACAAATAGTATCTATATAAATAAATTAAATTAAAAATAAATGGTTATCATTTTATCTTTTTATGTTTGTCAGTAGGGAGCAATCTTATAATGTCAACCCTGTTACAATGATTTTATTTAGCAAATGAATAAACTAAAAAGTGGACATTTCTAGAAATATCAGTACTTCATATCACTATTTGTCTTTCTAAGACACATCTTAGAGTTTCAACTATGAGTACAAAATAATTCTTTATCCTTTTGCCATCAACCCTGTTACCTTCCTGAAGACACAATTAGATTCCAACACAATTAATTTAGCTTGAGATGCACTATTCCATTAATTAACACTTAAATACATTATTTCTCTGATAGGATGTTTAAAATCTTGCATTAAAAATGTACTTCTCTTCGAATTGGAAAAGGCACCGGTTTCATAGAATGACTCTGTTATATTGCTATTCAATGGGCGAAAAACGATTTCCTCTTTGCCATCAAATCTCACTCCGAGTCATAAAGATAAAATGTTGGATGGAGAAGGGTCATCTGAATCAATGGGTTCTTAACTTTGATGCTATATGGCATACCTAATGAGAAAAATATATTTTACTACCCCTTGGCATGAAATGCTGGACTAAGCTTTTTTCCAAGGGCAGCGTTCAGTCTGACCTATCAACATTCAGTCCAGCATCTGCTATAAATTGCAAGGCTGTGCGTTAGAAAGGACTTATATTGATTACTAAAGAGTGAGTAGGATACTAGAGCTTCGCTCTATTTAGATTCTTATTAACCAGAACACACACACACACACACAGGTTTGTTTTTGTGAAAAGTGGGGACATCCCATAGGCGTAATGGTTTTTCTACTGTACAGACCGTATATTCTATTGCCTACCTACCTCTCACAGGAAACTTTGTGGTATTTCAGATTTTCAATACACTCCATTCTGTGTGATTTACATGCCACAGACTTGACCTACAGTACACAAAACACTGCTACTTCAAATACATTCGAGATGCTTTAAAACACCAAGACTTCAGGAGGATTTAGGGATTCTCTCATTAGATCTTCACTCAAAAATGCTGTTTAAATGAGCAAAACTGATGTAATTGTTAGCACTTTTAATTTTATCTGCATAATTAGGATTCTATGAACGCCTTTGAGAAGCAATAAAGCATTTTTCCTTTTATCTTTATTGCAAACAATAAAATGTTTGATTTAATGAAGCATTTATAAGAAATATAATTGTCCAATTGAATGAGAACAAACAAGAAATACTGTTTGATGTGATTATTATTTCCCTTGTAAAACTGTAAAGGTTTATATATATATATATATAAATCTCTCTCATGGTCTTCAGAAAAACAATAATAAAAACAGAAAAATCGGTCAGCTGAGTTTAGTTGTGACATTGGATATGATATATTCTATAATAACTTGTCATTTAGAGACAGTTGATTTAACACAAGAGGCTTTATATTGGTCAAGTCTGATGTGTTTGGCAACATAAATGATACAAATTTCTCACATGATATACATTTATTGAACCGCAGACCCGCTTTAGTCCACACTGGGAATCAAGATGGATGCATTAAAACCTCACAGATCAAAATCATTGCCTTAGAGAAACAAGATCCTTCAAGAGGTATCAGGATTTTCAAAATGAACTTTTAACCTCCTCTGTCTCTATTAAATCTTATTTTCCTGAAGGTAAGAATGATGTTTGGTGGGTGATTATAGGCAAGCATGCCATCTGCATCTTAATAACTCTCCATATGGTGCTGATCCAAGTGTAGTCAACATTTATTAAGCTGTGATTCAGAGCCCAGGTCGAAATTTTTATGTAAAAGGTGGTCGAAACAAAATCTTAATTAAAGATAAATTAATTAAAGGATTAAATAAATCTATAATTTACCCAAGAATGAAAACTATGCCATTATCTAGCCAAAACTGTGATGGGAAATTATCAGTGACAGTCTTATTTTTTTAATATAGACAGCGCTATATATTAAATATTTATATAATACTTTAGTTCAGCCCATTAAATTGATCAAAAGTGACAGTACAGACATTATTAATGTTACCAAAAACTGTATTTAAAATAAATGCTGTTCTTTTGAATTTTCTATTCATCAACATGTGCTGGAAAAAAATGTATCATGGTTTCCATAAAAATACTAAAAAGCACAACTGTTTGCAACTTTAAAAATAATAAGAAATGAATCCGATTATTTTAATTCATAATTAAAACATTATTTTAAATAGTAATAATATTTCACAATATTACTACTGTGTTTTATCAATTAAATGCAGCCTTGCAGCCTAAAAATACCTTTGAACAGCAGTGTGTAATAAATGATATATTTTTAAAATACATATGCAGAGTCACTCTTTAGTTTGTGTTTCTGAGAGAACACAATGACCTAAAAGTGCTGCAAACGTCAGAGCAGGTCAATGTGTTATAAAATGCCAAATAAAATGATTTATTGCCGCCACTAAAGATGCTGTCATATGGCGATTAGCAAGAGACAGAGAGTGCAAACTTATGATTGCTATGAAGCTGAAACAAAGGAGTTTGATAATAAGAGGTGACGCATGCACAAAAGTAAATCACATAAATGACATCTCCGGGTATTCATAAAAGCATATTTTTTTTTACATTTCTTTTAGAGATGTCATGTTTATTATAATAGATGATCCTTTACTTGGACCTGCTCTTGCATCAGACTAC